ATTCCTCCCCAGAAATTGCTTGGGCCAAAACAAGCTGTTTGGCCCAAGTTTTGCTCCCTCTCTGGAGGCAGCCCACATCCAATGACTGACCAGTACAGGTATAAAATGGCCCAGCCCCGTTGTCTCAATCTGGACAACTTTGTAGGGTTATCCTAGCTTCTGCATGCCATGTGGGATTAGATTAGAGCTCCATTGCAACTTCATTTTCGTCCAGCCTCTCTGTCTACCACATCCTGTCTTCCTAAATCCTTTACAAGAGTGGACCCCATGAGCATTCCCCAATAAACTCCTTGCACTGAATCATCATCTCAGAATTTGTGTTCAGGAAACCCAACTTGATACCTAACTATCTTTCTTTCACGTCTTCCACTCCTATCCTTCATATATCCTACATTCCAGTTAAACTGTGTTATCTGCCAATCCCTAAAGATATCTCACACATTACCACAAACTCATACATCCAAAAAATAGCTACTGAATATCTAAAATGTTCTAAACTCTGTAAGAGGTATTGACTGAGCTAAAGGAATATAGACTAGTAAACAGGCTATTAGTATGAACAGTGATTTCCCAGCTGAAGCCATAGAAAGAACAAGGGAAAAGAATGTGCTAGATAGAGAATGGCATGCACAAAGTCCCAAAGATATGAAAACTCACCTGGTGAGTCAGTGAATTGCAAATGCACATCAAAAGGGCTGAAGTTCGGGAAGCCTGAGTGCTGGTGGCAAGAGATGAGGTAGAAGAGGTCAGCAGGACCAAAACAAGAGAGGCAAGTAGCCCTAAGATACTATCCTTGGGGCAAAGGAGAACTAGTAGAGGGCTTTAAGGAAGGAAACAACACAATGATTATATTTTTGTTTTAGAAAGATTCATTTGACTACAATGTAAAAAAAATTAGCTGAAGAAAAGATATAAAATAGACGGCTACTGCCATGACCCAAACAGAAGACAATGGAATGATGACCTGAGGAGGTGGTAATGGAAATGAAGAGACCTGGACAGATCAGGAGATATTAAGAAACTACAGTATAAAGGGCACAACAGTTTACCACAGGGAGAGGGAAGAAGGAATGAAAAATTATACCATGTTTCTCACTTGAATAACTGAATGTACATTATTTACTAAGATAAGAAACACTGAGAAAGAAGCAGAAGTGGGGAGAAAAATAATGAGTTCAGTTTTGGACATGCTGGACTTAAGGTACCTAAATAAGAATTGGATATGTGAGTGTGGGCAGCAGGTAGTTAGATATGTATGTCCGACCTTAAGAGATCAGCCTGGCCAGAAGTACAGGCCAGACATCATCAGCATCTGCCTGGTCATAGAAACCTGGCAGTAAGACTGATAATAAAAAAAAGGGTCTGTCAGAAAAAAAGCAGGAAACCCAGTGGAAACTGGTGTCAGAGAAGTCAAGAGAATTCTTCAAGATGAAGCAAGTGGTCAACAGTGTCATATGTTGTTCAGACCAAATAAAATAAAGGCCAAAACAGTGTCCACTGACTGTAAACACTGCTATGCTTTTCAACGAACTGTTCCATAACCAGAAACCACAGACACTTTTCCACCTTTCAAGGATCCACTCAAATAGCCTCACATTTGCTTAGTGATTTACTAAACATCATCACATGTTACTGAATATACTTTTTGAGGGTTCATAGCACCACTTACGTATCTTGGCATCCTCCCTAGCTTATTAAAATGTGGATGCTGTAGATTCAGAAAAAGGAGCCAAATTTGCAGAAAACAATTCATAAAAGAAAAAACTCTAAAGATAGGAAGAGCCAGTCCACAGGCCAGAACTATTCCTTATACCACAACTAAAACAAGTCCATGTCATGTGGAAAGAGTCATGAAAAAATGCCTTTGATTTTTCAGGAAGGAACACAGACAGAGTCAGTCTTCATCCTTATATATAAACTTGATGACTGAAATAACAGTGATGAGGCCATCCTGCCTTTTCAGTGTGACATTAACTTCAATGACCAGTTTAGTGCTAGATCTATAGCAAAATGCCCACATGTTCCAGACTCTAATTGATCTCACTCACCCCAAAAGGGCAGCCATGAGCAGCCACTGATAAAGAGGCATTTGTCTAGCTTTGTGCAGTGGCAGTATCGTAGCCAATGAGGTTTATCCAAGGCGCTATTATTGCTAATTGAAAGAGGCATTCATCTTCTGACTGTTCTTTTTTTCTAGAATGTGAACGTCTAAAAAATTTTAAAAAGCCTATTTGAATAGGCACAACTGCCAACTTCACTTATCCCTTCAAATTTAATGAGCCTATTTTGTTTTATGGGTGCTTCAAAAGAACTAACACAGAAGAGGTGGCTATAAATGGAAAACATGAAGCAACTTGCTGAGACCTCATGGTGAGGTCGATGGCTTGCTTTGTCATGCCTTTGCAGACCAACATTTCCAGAATTCCCTTTTTAAACACAGATCAAAACTCACATGAGAAAAGGAGAATTCTTGTTCTCCAAAATATCAACCTAAAAGAATATTTCAAGGCAGTTTGAGGGAGATGCGGCCACTAACATAGCAATAGTTAAAGCAGTAGAAATGTGATTTTTTTTTTTGGAGACATTCAGCCCAGATTCCCCGAGCCAGGAATTATTCTGCCCTACCCCTATCCCTGCCTAAGCAACATTCCTCCTAAGTTCTCAAGAGGCCCTGGCATTTAGAACATTTGCTAATATTTATTCAACACCCAGAAGAGTACCTTAAAAATGGTGGGTCCTTGATGGTGGTAACTAACACTCAACGCCAGTAACAAATAGCTGTGTAAGAGGTAGATTTTTATAAACAGTAAGAGGGCAGAATAGTAAAGCTGAAAATTAAACATAAAAATTCATGGCAGCTTGAATCTGGAATATGTTGCCTAAAGAAATTCAGCTCAGTAAGATGTTAATAAATTCCTATGAAATTAAACAAGCCAAGACATGAGGAAAGGTACTTTACCGAGGTCATGAAGTACCTTCTCAGAATTAGTTTTATTCTCTCTGTGCTGTTACTGTTTCAATATCTGCAATATTAGACTCATGTCACAATATAATATTATGCTACAGTTTATAATCTTAATAACCCTAAGCACACACACATGCAGAGCCCACAGCTATTTCAGAGGTCTTCATGAAGAATATGGATATAGATAGAGGTTAAGAATGATTTAAGTAAGAAAGAACATTTGCCAAACACTAACTATAATTAAATTGAGATGAAGGCTATTTGAACTAAACCAGTAAATTCTCTTCTGAAGCTAATAATAATAATTATTATTATTAATAATCATACTTAGAATTTTTAGATGCATTATACATCTGGCGTCAGAAACGATTCTGTGAAGTAAGATTATTATTTTCATCCTTTTTCAGAAGTGAGGAAACCAGGGTTCAAAGAACTTAAGTAATTTGTCCAGTTGTTCCTAGGTCCTATGGCTGATAAGTGAGAAAGCAAGGATTTGAACCTCAGCTGTCAGGCTCCAGAGGCCGTGACCCCAACCACTATGTTACACTGCCTAGGTTTAGGCTTAATATACCCCACCATAAGCAATAGGCATGACACTGATTTGCAAACAGATTTCCCAGAGCTTAAAAAAAAGAGTTTCACTCTGCCTACAAAATTTGAGATATTTCTTCTTTCATAGTATGTCATGGAACTGCTGTCCTGAAACAGCAGAATAACCCAACACCTCCCAGTTCTCAAGCTGCCTGTTCCATTGACAACTTGCACTTCGTCCAGTATTTATCCATTTCATCCATTTTTATGACAGATTAATGTAAGATTGCGTTCAGTGTAACAACTATAGTTATGCACAGATTTTAATAATTTTCAAGAACTTGGATTTTTTTCAGAGGCTTGCTTTTTTAAAATTAAACATTTAACATCTGTATCTTTTGGTAATCATTTATCACTTGTTCCAGTTCTCATAATTATTAGTGGAGATTGTGCTTGGTTTTGGAACAGCCCAAGCAGATTGCTAATGGGGTCCCTTTCCTCTACTGGTAAATGAAAGATTCCAATAGTTACTACATATTTCCCCAATAGAAAATTAACCAGAACTTCAGGTTCACCCTTTTTGAAACAATCTGAATTTTTTTAAAGTTCATAATAGAAGATGGCTTCTTTTTCAAATACTTAACATCATACTTTTAAACTGATCAGTATTCTCCAAAGTGTCAAATTATAAGTCACTGTCATAAATTATAAATTAACTTCACTATCAACTTACAAAATAATTTAATTCAGTAGATATATTAAATAGAATTTATTAGGTGACTATAATGTGTCTGAATAGTCAGTAGCAGTCCAAAAAAAAAGGATCCATATTATCTATAGACAAAAATAAAAGGGATATTTATTGATTGAATGTAAAAGATCAACCTCTTTTTAGCTCTTCCATTCCAAGTAGAATATGGTCCACAACAGTTCATTTTTATTTATTTGTTTGTTTTATTTATTTATCTAAATAAGATAAATAAGAAATTTGATTTGAAGATAAAGAATGAAAAACTAAGCATATTGACTATGGTACATTACTTCAGTAAGGTATTTACAATGAATAAGACCCTACAAAAGATGCTAAGATACATAAAAATGTGAAAACAGGTCTAAAAAAAATTATCTCACATATTTGATCTAGTTATTTTCATTCTGTGTTGTTTTGACCACATTTTTACAAAGAAAGATACATCCTAAAGAAAATTTTATTGAATCATTGTAATATTTTGTAATCAAAGTTATATATATACATATATATAAAGTCTTTCTACTTTTTCCATTTCTATTTTCATTTTATGATACTATTTTTATCAAGATCGAATCTTTTTTTTGTGCTAAATTCTCCAACAAAGATTTTATCACTTAGGTGGTTTACATCTAGATCAAATTTTACTGATTGTGCCTTCATCCATTTTGTGACAATTTTCTCATACCAAATAAAATACTGCTACCTAAATTTTGTGAAGAATACATGATTCTTCTGTTAAATTTGGTAAATAATGTGCTCGCTTAGGCAGCACATGTACTAAAATTGGAACAATACAGAGAAGATTAGCACGGCCCCTACACAAGGATAACATGCAAATTCGTAAAGCATTCCATATTTTTACACCAATCCAAAAGAACCTGTGCACCCCAATGTTCATAGCAGCACAATATACAAGAGCCAAGAGTTGAAAGCCAACCTGGGTGCCCATCAGTAAATGAATGGATCAAAAAACTATGGTACATTTACACAATGGAATTCTATGCAGCAGAAAGAAAGAAGGAGCTCCTACCCTTTGCAACAGCCATGGATGGAAATGGAAAATATTATGCTGAGTGAAATAAGCCAGGCGGTGAAAGACAAATGCCATATGATCTCACCTTTAACAGGAAGCTAAATAACAAAACAAACAAGCAAGCAAAATATAACCAAAACACTGAAATAGAGAACAGGCTGACAGGGACCAGAGAGGAGAGGGGAGAGAATTTCAGGGGGAAAGGGGACAGGAACAAGTATGAAGGTCACATGGACAAAAACTAAGGGGGGTGGAAATGGGAAGGAGGTGGGGAGCACTGGGAGTGGGCTGGGATGGGAGTAAAAGACAGAAAACTGTACTTTAACAATAACTAAATTAAAAAATGCTGCCCTGGCTAATGTAGCTCAGTGGATTGAGCACGGGCCTGCAAACCAAAGAATCGTGGTTCAATTCCCAGTCAGGGCACATGATGCGTGGGTTGCAGGCCAGTTCCCAGCAGGGGATGTATGAGGAGGCAACCATACACTGATATTTCTCTCCTTCTCTCCTTCCCTTCCCCTCTAAAGATAAATAAATAAAATCTTTGAAAAACACTTAAAATTTGGTAATAACACATTGTATCATGTAAAGTTTTAATTATTATCACTGTTATTTCTTATTGATTATTTATACCTGTGATATTCATTATGATCTTGGTTAAAAATAACTGATTATTGGTTCATGATAACATTAGTAGTAATTTCTCTCAGATAATCCAAGATTAACCTATCCTTAAGGGTTAGCCAGTTGTACGGTTTGTATATTTTTGCATTCCACTAATCACTTTTGTATTCCATGTACTAACTACCCACATTGTTGACTGAATGATCTTGGTCAGGTTACTAACCTATCTGACTGTTTCTCAGTTTTCTCATTTATAAAATTAGAATTATAATGGTATATACTTAATTAAATTGTTAAATCATAAGAGAATATAAATGTAAAGCACATAAAAAACCCTTGGCGTCTAGTAATCACTCAGTAGATATAGCTATGATACTTTTCACTATTGTTATTAGTGGCAGAGAAAAGAATAGATAAAAGCATCAAAATGGCCCTGATGTCAATATGATACAGTCAAATGACAAAATCAAACCAGGAAGATCAAAGATGAGACCAAAATATCCTGTTTTATTTACACATAGTATCAACTCATTTACAAGTCCACTCAGAAATAAAAAAGAAACTTTATTATTACACTCTATCATAAATAAGCAACCATTTTGCTGTTTTAGTAACACCTCTATGAGGGGCGAAACACACACAAAAAAACAGAATTATCTTCTGGAGGTGGGCCCCTTGTAGTACAGGCTTCCCCCACTAGGTGAGTGAGTGTTCTAGGAACCCATCTGTATCACTGTACCTGCCAGCATTGTTGTCGGGGGCTACATTTGGCTTCAGTGAATTTTTTTTTTAAGACTTTCAACACATGTGCTCATCTCACTATGGGTGACTTACAAGCACACCTGTCCCCAAGGCACTGTGTGTTCAGGACTTTTTGGCCAGTAATGGCTCCCGTGCCCCAGTTCCCTATTCACCCAATCTCACTGAGTGACTTTATCTTTCCCTGAATGAAAAAAGTCCTCAAATGGAAACATTTTGCTGATGTCGAAGAGATGAAACAAAAAAGGCAGAAGAATTAAAAGACATCAAAATCAACAAGTTTAAAAGCTGTTTTGAGCACTGGAAAAAATGTCTCGATAGGTGTATTGCACTGAATGAAGGTACTTTGAAGGTGAGTGAATAAACATATAAGAATCAACACACAAATTTTTATAAATAAATTCCATTTTTTGATTCCCCCTTGTATACTAAGTTCATTTAGGTAAAGGTACAATACACCACCATGTAATTCATAGCAAGCCTGCTACTGCCTCGATTCTTTTTCTTTTTTTTTAAATTCTTACATGTTTATTTTTAAGTATATTTTATTGATTAAACTATTACAATTGTCCCAATTTTTCTCCCTTTGCTCCCCTCTACCCAACACCCCACCATCCTTCAGACAGTCCCCACAACTTTGTCCATGTCCATAGGTCATACATGTAAGTTCTTTGGCTACTCCATTTTCTGTGCTGTATTTTACATCCCCATGGCTGTTCTGTAACTACCTATTTGTACTTCTTATCTCATTCACCTTTTCCAACATTCCTCCAAATGCCTCTCTCACCTGGCAGCCATCAAACTGTTCTCCATATCTATGACTTTGTTTCTGTTCTTGTTTACTTAGTTTGTTTTTTAGAGTCAGTTATTGATAGATATGTATTTATTGCCAATTGTATGAACACTCCCATTGTTCATAGTTTTAATCTTCTTTTACTTAAATAGGTCCCTTTAACATTTCATATAAAATGGTTTGGTGGGGATGAACTCCTTTATCTTTTTCTTGTCTCAGAAGATATTTACGTACCCTTAGACTCTAAATGATAGCTTTGCTGGATAGAGTAATCTTGGTTGTAGGTCCTTGCTTTTCATCATTTTGAATATTTCTTGTGCTTCCTTTCCAGCCTGCAAAGTTTCTTTTGAGAAATCAGCTGACAGTCTTATGGGAACACCTCTGTAGGTAACTACCTGATTTTCTTTTGCTTCTTTGAAGATTCTCTCTTTACATTCAACCTCTGGCATTTTGATTATGATGTGTCTTTGGTGTGGGTCTTTTTACATCCATCTTGTTTGGGACTTGCTGTGTTTCTTGGACTTATATGTTTATTTCCTTCACCAAATTAGGGAAGTTTTATTTAATTATTTTTTCAAATATGTTTCCAATTTATTGTTCTTTCTCTTCTCCTTCTGGCAACCCTATGGTGCAAATGTTGAATTGCTTGAAGTTGTCCCAGAGGCTCTTTATATTATCCTCATTTTTTTAATTCTTTTTTTTTTTCTTGCTGTTCAGGTTGGTTGTTTTTTGCTTCCTTATGTTCCAAATCATTGATTTGGTTCTTGGCTACTATTGATTCCCCATAAATTGTTCTTTGTTTCAATAAGTGCATCCTTCATTTCTGCCTGGATCTTTTTTATGCTGTTGAGGTACTCACTAAAATGCCTTGAGGATCCTTATAACCAGTGTTTGAACTCTACATCTGAAAGACTGCTTACTTCCATTTTTTTAGTTCTTATTCTAGAGTTTTAATCTGTTCTTTCATTTGGACCATGTTTCTTTGTCTCCTCATTTTGGCAGCTTCCCTGTGTTTGTTTTTATGTATTATGTACAACTTCTATGACTCCCTGTCTTGGTAGCATTGCCTAATGTAGAAGGTGTCCTGTGAGGTCCAGTGGTATAGCCTCCTCTATCACCCAAGCTGGCTACTCAAGGTGCACCCTCTGTGTGGGCTGAGTTATCCTCCTCTTGTAGTTGAGACTTAATTGCTGTTGGCAGGTAGGGAGGAATTTACCCAGGTCAGTCAGCTACAAGGACTCACTATGACCACTGACCACCAACCTCCACCTCTGTGAAGAACAGCTGTGTAGGGGGCCAACTCCACAGAGCAGGGCTTACTTCAGCAGGGCCCTGGTGCTCACTTATGTTCTGCCTGGGGCCACTTGGCATAAGCTACAAAATGATCTGCAGCTAGCTGCTGCTTGTGCTGGGCTTGGAAGTGCTCTAGTGAGGCTAGGCTATGAATGAAGGCCAGCTGCTGCTAGTGCCAGGCCTGGTACAACTTAGCAAAGTACCTGGACTCACTGAGGCCAGCTGCTGCTTATTTAAGAGGACTTAGGAAGATGAGAAGCATGAGTCAAGACAAGCCATTCATAAGGAAAAGCCACTGATAACCACTTGGTTGGGCCCCTAAGTTTGGTTGGGCAGAGTCTCAGGGAATCACCAGGGTGGGGCAAACAGTGTGAGCTAGATTGATGGAGTCTCAGATATGGTTCCTGCCATGCTCTGTGGCTCTATGTGGGGAGGGCTCACACAAGGAACAATGGCCTCTGCCTGCCTTTCTGTCTGAAGGAAAGCTGTCCCCCATATCTTGTCCTGATGCCAGATAACTTCAGTTCCTCCCTGTATGCCACTGGTGCTTTTCGAGCTGCTGCCCTGGTGCTGGAATTCAGCATGTGTGAGTCTGAGTAAGTCCATGTGCAGACCCTTTAAGAATAATAGCTTGGGAATCCAGCAGTTTCTTCCATGGACTCAATCTCCACTGGTTTTTACAGCCAGAAGTTATGAGGACTTATCTTCCTGGCACTGGTATCCTGAGCTGAGGGGCCTGGTGTGGGGCTGAAACCCCTTGCTCCCAAGATGTTTTTTTTGATTTTTATCCATTATATGTGGGTATGGTACCAGCCCATTCTGTGTCTCCGCATTTCCACATCTTTGCCCCTCCTACCAGTCTGGATGGATGTGGTTTCTTTTTAAGCCTTGGTGGCAGGACCACCATTCAACTCAATTTCTGTCAGTTCTGAGTGATGGTTTTTATATAGTTTACTTGTAACCTTGATGTGGTTGTGCTAGGAGCTGAGCTATGTTTATCTATGCTGCCATCTTGAAGATCTTTCCTTTTTCTTTACCTTTCCTTTCCTTTTTTCTTTTTTTTCACTTTCTTTCTTTCTTTCGTTCTTTCTTTCTTTCTGCTGTAATGACTGCCCATCATTCCTAAAAATTATAATATTTATGGTAACTTGCTTATCAACCTGCTCTTAATGTTTTCACAACCATTGTATCAATTAAGACTCATAACCACTTGGGAAAGTCTATTAGGGTATTATACTGGTATGATAGCTGGGCCACAGAGAGAATATAAGATTTGTCCAAGGAACACAACTACCTAGGAGGTGAGCCAGAACTACAAATTAACCCTTCAAAAATACCCTGATACAAAAGCCAGACAA